TTCATGTATTATCATTTTTTTATTTTTATTTTAAAAGGGTTGTTTTTTTATCATTACACACACACTTTTCACAAGATAAAAAAAAAATGAAAACCAAAATTTTCTTATCATATTATTAGATCGATGATTATACTGTACGATATGTCCACTTATACACAAATCACAGCAATTAGCCAAATAAATGGCCTAGATGAATTCAATTATTTGTGATCATACTATACAAACCACCCTTCATATTATATATATGATACACATGTTAAAAAATGCTAGAACGAATTCAATATGGTTGTATGATAATAATTACAATTTATATGGTACGAACATCTGTTCGTAATGTACGATGCATTTAGTCAAAAGTCATTCAAATGACTCCTTGGGATAAACATAATTTCTTAAGATCGTCTAGTATGATATTGATCGTATTGTACAATTTGATCACCTTTTTTTGATAAGTCATCCAGAAGATTTAATTCCCTTGATTGTACTATACAATCGACATCAATTCTATAAATTGGAGAGTTTTTAAGCTTTCAATCCATTCAACATTTACCTTCTCTCAATTCCTACATTCATATCCTAGAATCCTCAAAAGTTTAGATGACGTAAACATGGTAGAATGATCCAGTGGAGCTCCTCCTCTTGTCACTTTGATGATCAAATTTTATCTGTGAGATATGAAAATGCTTAATACAAATTCAAGGAGGCTTGAATCACCCCCTCTAGAATGCTCAATCAACTTGCTATCAACTTTGAGGTGATGAACCTCTTTACCTCTACCACTCACCAATTCCTACTTACACTAGCCTTTCCTTTTACTTCTGAACAACTCTACAAATTCCTAGCTGACCTTAGGATCAATACGAAAACTTTCACCATGAACTCATATGTATGCCGACAACTTGTAGAAATCATAAAGAAAGATTTAGGGGAGCAAATATGTCTTTCTGCTGAAGGTCCTCATCACAATCCCTGATCTCCATAACTGATTTTTACTGGAGTGTTATAAACCCGACTATTTGAAATGTGGCCATAAATCAACATCAACCCTTAGTCCAATCCCTAAATCAGAATGCCAAGGTTAACCAACATACTTTTAGAACTTCAATTATATCCAAAACTGGAGATCGTGTCAACATTACTCCATTGCTTTTCATAGTCACCTATCTAATAATGTCCAATACCCAATTTGATGAAGATGAGATGTTTATCAATTTTATCTAAAATATGACTCCTATTTGACATCCCAATACAATAAAAAAGTAAAATGTTGAATTAGGACACATCATAAGCTATGTCTTAGATAAGAAATATCAAGTCAACTACCTTGCTCCTTTAGATAATCTTCCCAATTTCTACACGGATGCCTCCTTAAAACCTTTCCCTAATTGAAGATCATTTCACATCCATAAATAAATACTTTCAACAACCATCACCACCACCACTTGATTAGGATCCATCTTATTTTTAGTATTTATTGGTCGTGTTTAACTATTTTTTTTCTTATAATGTTAGCCTTTTTTGTTGTTCCTCCTCTTTTTATTGATGTCAAAGGGGGAGAATATGTATATTTACTATGTTTTACTTTAATAGAATCATGTGTTTGCTTTTATTTTCTGATATTTTATTTTCCTTTTATTTTTCATTAAAAAAATAAAAAAATATAACCCCTAATTTTTAAATTTATCACCTAGTGAGGGGGAGGTTAAGAGAATTTTTTGTTTATCTTTCCTATCAACCAGTATTATTTGCCATTATAAAAAGAGAAGAGATTGTTCCAATCCAAGATTTCTAATCTATAATTTTGCTGATGACAAATATTACTGATTGAATTGTTACTTTTTTTAGTGAATTTTTTAGATATTTCTTTTATCTGTGAGCACTAATATTGCATGAAAAATATAAACTACTCAAGACTACTCACTACAGGAAAAACGCCTAAATCCGATGGTTTTTTCTGGCAGTTAGCCTATATTAACCGGCGGTTTTTTAGAACCGCCAGTAATAGCCATTTTTCCTGTAGTGACTTAAAGCTCAAGACTAGGTAAAATAGGAATGTCAAGTAAACAGAGTTTATACTTATATATATATATATATATATATTTCTATATTTCTTGAATCTTGTCACATAAGAGTGTATGATATTGGGGGATCATGCACACACACAGGGGGAGTGTAAAAAATTTAAAGTTAAAATTTTTTGGTACTAATCGCATTGTACGACTTATAATCATATAATACAATCAATTATAGAAATAATGGGCTTAATGACTAATTGAATAATTTGTTCCCGTGAGCTAAACATATTGTATGATTTAGATCGTATTGTATGATTTGTTACGATATGAAAACCTTAGCTGTCGGATAAATCAAGTAAGATACTGAAAGTTTGATTTTTGAATTAATTATATTGTACGATCTGATTTGTACTCTATGAACATTTAAAATTTTATTTAAATTAACCCTCATAATTAGTCAATCAAATCGTGGTTTAATTAATTATCTTGATCGCATTATACAAACTTGATCGTTCTTTACCATTGGCTTAGATGAAATTTGGTTGTTCAAAAGATCGTACCAAACGAAATCAGGATTTTTAAACTAATCATATTATATGATATTCATATCATACTGGACAATCAACTTAAAATTAACTAACTGTATTGTGCAATGATACAATATAGGATGATTGATAGAGATAATTTTTAATAATCACATAAATCTTCATGTATGAATAGAGAGAAAGTAAAAAGATCGTATTGGATGATCTTTAGATCATACTATATGACGTGTTTAAAAAGTTGAACAGTTTGTCTAAGTAACTGTTTACATCATATTGGATCGATGGGCAAGGAACTCTGAGAGAGAAGTCTTTGATAGAAATCCAGGATTTAAGAGGAAGAAGAAGATAAGGTTAAGCGTGAGGGAGAAGGAATGTGAAGGGATTACATGGTTGCTTCGGGCTAGCTACACCCTTGCTCCTCATGTGGCCTTGGTGAGTTATTGAAGGATCTAATGGGAGAGATGCTTCTAAGTCAAGTTCTCAAGGTACTTTGCCTTCGCTAGGAGAGAGAAAAAGCTTTAGGTTCTCAGCCTTCTCTAGGAGAGAGAAAAATGATTCAAGGTTCGCTTCCAATATCGAGGAAGGTGACATAGCTTCTGACACTCTACCACATCAGGTTTGGTAAAAGTGAGTTTGTAAAGGCTTCTTCGCCTTGCTGTGGGAGTAAAAAAGACTCACTTTTTTGCTAGTGCAATTCCCAAATTGGGAGACTTAGGGGAGTGGATCCCAGAGTGGACGTAGGTCAAGGTTTAATGAACCACTATAATTTAAATTTTGGTATGCTTTTTCATTTTTCTCATCTTATTTTTTGCATTTAATTTTAATGATAACTGCTTAGTGAAAATTTGAGATTAATGTTATGTCATGTTAATTAGAATTTCATCATCATTATTGAAATTGTTGTTAAATTGTTAGCTTATGCTTCATGTGATCAAATTATTTATTTCAAAGTTTTGAAACATTTACAAAAATAATAGTATTCCTTTTTAGGATTTTTTAAATTATCAATTCACCCTTCCATCTTAGTGTACCTCGGGCTAGTTTTGTGAGGTTTAACAACCTTCTCAAACCTTTAAATAAATTATGGAGTACTAATGTGTTCTCTTCATTAATAATTTCATGATGCTTTTAATATATTTTGTCTACATTTAATATACATAGTGGTCATATGTGTAGTTAATAGTATGTATAATATTGAGCCTAGAAATAAAAAATTATGCACAACTAGGTATGTTGTATTAGTATGATGCAAGTCTAGGCATAGCGCTTGCAAGTCTAGGCATAGCGCTTGTCATATATCAAATTTATAGAGATGAATTATCATGAGGGGTGTTTAACAGTACATGCTTTATTTACTCTTCTAAGATTTTTCGTGGGTGATAGACCATGGAATTTTATAGTGGTATTGAGATTGGAATGGTTTAATCTACCATTTGTCACTTCAAGCTTGAGTGAGCAGTTGGTGATACATATACATAGAAAAACAAATCATTAGGAAACATATTATATTTATATTCCATCGATCTAAAATAGTTTATCCAAATAGTGTTTTAATTAATTATTTTTTATTTTAATTTAAGTGATTGAATCTCCATCAAAACTTATTTTAATTGAGTAGGATAATTATTATAGTTAAAAGTTGTTACTACTAGTATTTATAAGTAAACATTCTTCCTCGTGAGATCGATACTATACTATATCACTATATTACTTGATTCAACATATATATTTGTGTATATTAAGTGAGATTTTTACAATTTTTATATAAAAAAAATATAAACATTATTTAGAGATTATAGAGTCTTAAATCTTTTTCATGATTCTTTAGGTTACTCCACCGCCTCTATCAAATTATTGACATAGTTACAGGGGAAGAATTTATTTTCTTTATAAATTACATAATATGTCCTACTAGGTTTTTTTTTTCATTTTAATTTACTTATTTCATATTTTTGGTTGCATACTTACAAGACATAAAGGAGAGGCATGCTTAAATTTTGATTCTAAAATTGAGAGAACTCTTTATAAAATTAGAACCACCAAAAAGATTTTTAAAATGACCTGCCCTGTTTAAAGCTTAGATCATTCTAGACCTCTTAAGAATTCTACAAATCCTTTAGTTTATAAAATTCACCAAAACATAAATAAACCCACCATCCAAGCAAATAATTTTGAATTAATTTAAATGGTACAAAATTCTTACTTTAGGGAAACTCCCATTGAAGACCCTAACTTATATTTAGTAAGTTTTTTACAAATTTGTGTAACATTTATATAGAATAGTGTTAGGGATGATGCTATTAGACTTAAATTGTTCCCATTTTCTTTAAGAGATAAGGCAAAAATATGATTAAATTTTTTACCTCCAAGTTTTATTACCACATTGAATGAGTTGGCTCATAAATTTCTAGGGAAGTATTTATTACCTTCTAAGATTTCCAAGCTTAGAAATGACATTACTTCTTTTACTCAGTTAAAAGTAGAATCTATTTATAAGAGTTAGGAGAGATTCAAGGAGATGCTTAGAAAGTGCTTTCAACATACCTTATCTGATTGGATTAATTGAAATAAATGAAAACAAATAATTTTAGCGGCCTGCTGATAGGGTAAATCCTAAGAGAGTGGTTGGTGTTTATGAAAATTATTCTTTCTCCATTTTGACTGCACAAGTTGCAGCAATATAAAAAAATTGAGCACTTTAGGATTAAATTTTGATTCATCTTTACATTTGGAAGATAAAACTCGGTGGAAGAAAATGATATCCAAGGGGTTGAAAATATAAATTTGATTGAAAGCTAAAATAATCCCTATTTAAATACATATAATTTAGGTTGAAGGAATCACCCAAATTTTAATTGGTCAAATAATAATGATGAAAATTAATGAAATTCTGGTTAAAATAATCAAGACATAAATTAAAATAATATAATCAATCTAATAAAAATCCATGACCAGCATATCCTCTTGGATTTAATCAAAGAAATTAGTATGAAATTTGGAAGACACCACTAAAAGATGTAGTCATAAAATTGGAAACTCAATTACAAAACCTAGCTGCTTCACTTAAAATTTTGGAAATGCAAGTAAGTCAGCTTATTATTTTTGTGAGTAGTAGACCCATTGGATATCTTCCTAGTAACACTGAAGTTAATCCTAAAAAGAAGGAAAAAGATACTAATCAGACCGAATTGAAAAAAAAAACAATCATCCACCTTAGCCAAATGAAAAATCTACACAAATATGACTGAAGACTATAGACTTAACGCTTATAGGGAGGCAACGTTATCCTCTAGATTAGGTTTTGTTTAATATACTTAAAAAAAAAATCTTTGAGAGGGAAGAAGGGAGCATTGTGGTGCCATAACTTTGAATGCTGCAGCGCCCTGAAAGGCCTTAATGATTGAAACATACTATCAAAATTTGATTCAATTCTAACTTTTTGATTATAAAATTTTTTAATAAATTATCAATTATGAGTTTAGGCTAATTCTCACAAAGGAAAAAGCATACAAACTAGTCATTTTTAGGTTAAAATTTAGTACATTGGTTGGAATTTTGGATTTGAATTAGATTTATTTATTAAAAGAATCAATTCAAACCTAAACTTTTTAAGCGGGTTGGATTGACAATTTTAGCTTTTTTCTATTTACCGGTTTTATTTTCTTATTTTAGAAGGTAACATATTAGCTAATTTAGTTTAAAAAAATTAAAATTTCTTAAAACTTTGTGAACAAGTTTTCTTTGTATCAATGCTTCTCATTTGTTTAAAGAATTGTAAGATATGAATGTTATATTATTTTAATATTTATAATAAAACTTATTATTTGGCATGACAATTATATTATAAGACATCGATTTTTTTTCTATTATGTAATCTAATTAATTTTGAAGAAAGAGGGAAGGAGGGACTTTTTATTTAAGGATAATTGTTATTCTCCATTCTATTAAATTTTGATAGTATGATTTTTAAATGCATGAATACAATAATTAATTTTAATTTTAATAATATTTGATTATTTCAAAATGGGTTTGTTTCGTTGCATTTGAAGATTATTATTCAAAAATTTCAAACTTTCCTCCCATTAAAATCTATAGAAACCATAGGAGCTGAAGAAGTTCTCTTTTTAGTCCTCACCTACTCTTGAGTGGGTATCATACTTTCTTCTCTTGGAAATCAAAAGTCTAAACGATGGGTAGAATCATGCATTCATCATCTTCTTCAAAGAGTTAAAATAAAAATCATAACAAGAATGAGGATTTTTTTCACTTCTCCACATGCAAGGTTCTACCATTATTACTAAGTTGAAAAAATTTAAAGAGAAGTTGTATGTAGATAAGAAAAATACATGACAGAAATAAGGAAGATGCATGGTGGTAGAGTTTTCTTATATGATTTCTTTGTTGGGCAAGATGTGTTGATATTTGATTATAAGGGAATGTATTGCCATGAAAAAGTCAAATTTTGATGGATCAGTCTTTTCACTATCATCAAAATTTTTCTTGATGGTGCCATCAGGATACAAAATAAGAAAACTTTACAAAGCATCAAAGTCAATGGGTATAGATTGAAACCACGCACTTAAAGGAGTGAGAAATTCTTAAGAACATGTATGCATTGTTGTTGTTTTACTTTATTGTTTTGTAGAAGAGAAGGAAGTGGTGGGAGATATTGGCTTTTGTAGTTGAACTTAATTGAAAATTTTGACTTTAAGATTTATTGTTGAATGTTGGTGCCATGTACAATGGTTATCCTAGAAATATGTCAGGTTTTGAATGTTGTGTCATGTTTTGTATTCAACATATATTTTACGCGCTCTTTATCATTCATATGAAAGCATGCATTTGTAGTATTTTTTATGTGTTTATTTACATATTAGAAAAATTTCTTCAAGGTTAAATTATTATTGTTCTAAAATTATTTTAATATTTTGATTATTTAATAAACTTCTATAAAAATGATAATTAAGAATTAAAATAATAATGAAACTTTAGATTCTAGTTTGAATGAACTTTGTTTATACTTCATAAGTTGAAAAACTAATACTTAACTCATTCAACCATTTAAGCTATTATCCTAATTTGAATTTATAAGCTATACATTCATGAATTTAACTTTTAAAAATTATAAGATTAATAATTAGTATTAAAAATTAGATATGAGTAGATTAAAATTTAACATCATAGCTATCCTAAAGATGAAATTAGTAATGTCATCAAGTTCATACATTAAAATTATTAAGACTGTATGAAAATTCTAAGCAGAAGCTAATATCCAAAATCATTAACTACGTACTTCACTAAAGAAAAAAGAAAAAAAAAACTACAAATAGTTCTTAAAAAGAAAAAGAAATGAAAGATATCAAAAGAAAATATGAGTACATTAAAAAATTGGTATCTATGAAAACTTAAGATTTGAAATACAATCTTATACAAAAATTATGAAGGATTAGACGAGAAAGTTAATACAAGGAATTATGAACTAATGAAAGTACAATTTTAACTATAACCATATCAAATTATTAAAACTACATTATTTACTTTAACATTCAAAAGTTAATGATTAAATATGTAACCTATCATTTAAAATTAGGTAAAAATAAGAACCATTGATTAAGTTTAAGTATTAGTATTTTTTTAAACTAGAAGTATAGTTTTGATTCAATTTTACAAATTCTAGATAGTGATGTATTATCCTAAATTATAGTAATTTTAGATTATCACTTTCTATTTTTGTTAATCACTTAATCAAAATTATAGATTTTAATTTGCTTGAGTTCAAGAAAGAGTTTAAGATAGGTAGGATTTAATAAGTGTAAATAATATTATATTTTATGTATTAATTTATCATTAAAACTATATTATTTTAGTTGTGTTTGTGAAGAAAATATAGGAGTTGGGTAGAATTTTCAAATGTGGTATAACACCATAGTGTCAGACACAATACCGTTGTGGCTCCATCATTGACACCGACTGAGCATTCAAATATGGACATGGTGATGTCTAGTCTCTTTTTAACAGCGCCAAAGCATTGGAGGAATCATCGCCGCAAAGCCCAGCCAGCCAGGGGCGGAACCCCATGGTATTGAGGGGGGGCAATTGCCCCCCCTAAAAAAATTAATTTTTTTTATTATATGGCTGATGTCAGCACCGCAAAGCCTAGTCTATGTCTTTACAGCACCATGGTGCCAAATTCCAGTGTCGTTACGTTAAGGAAGTGCCACATTGACATTGCAGCACTCATTCGTTAGCAAAGCCATAGTTGTATAGTTATAATCATTCAAGCCACAATATGCCATTGAAGTGATGTGTTAATTCATTAAATAACTGGTTCATATAAGCAAGAACCGCATCAGAGGAAACCCTTTAATGGTGTAGTGTTAGTTCATTTTATGGGTGCTACGGCATAAGTATCTCAAGCGATGTGGTGCAAAAATGCATTTTTTGTGTTTTTCTATAAATATTATGTTTGTAATATTAATAGAGGTGTTTAGTCACTTATTTAATTTCAAACTTTATAGTTCTTCTCTGATTTTTTTAGGTGTGACAACTAAGGGAATTCAGAGAAGTATTAGATATATTCCATTGAAGTGTTTAGCTTGTGTTTGTGAAGCTTTTGTTTGTGAAAACAATTCTATAATTTAAAGGAGGTGTGTAGAGGAGATCATTAAATCATTCGATGATATATTTTCTTATGTACTTTTTATCTTTTGTGCAATTAATATGCTTCACTTATTTTTCATGTATGAATAAATTCTCTAACCTCAAATTCAAGATGTAAATAAAAATGGAGTGCTAATGAGTTCTCTTCATCAATAATTTCATGATATTTTCAATATACCAAGTCTTCATTTAATACACGTAGTGATCATATGTGTAGTTAATATTAAGTGTAATGTTGAGCCTAGGAATAGGAATACAGACATAACCATATAGTTGGATTGATATGATGTAAGAATAGGCATAGTCCTTGTCGTGTATGAAATTTATAGAGATGAATTATCATGAGGGCATTTTAACAATATACAATATACTTACTCTTCTAAGATTTTCATAGGGAGATAGACTATGGGAGTTTAGAGGGGTATTGAGATTGGAAGAGTTTAATCAATTGTTTGTCTATTCACACTTGATTGAGTGATTGATGAACATATTCTCTGAATAACATCAATATTAAAAAGAATCATTAGGAAATATATTATATAATTTATCTAAATATTGTTTTAATTATTTATTTTTTATTTTAAATTAAGTGATTGAATCCCCACCACAATTTATTTTAATTAAGTAGGATAATTATTATAGTTGAAGTTAATAGTACTAGTATTTATAAGCAAATATTTTTTCTCGTGGGATTAATAGTTTTATCTATCACTATATTACTAGATTCAACACGTATACTTGCGTATATTAAGTGAATTTTTTATAAATTTTATATCAAAGAAAATCTAAGTATTGTTTAGAGATTGATAGAGCCCTAAATATTTTTCAGAATCCTTTAGGTTACTCAACCATCCTTTATTAGCCACTTATTTCTTATCCGATAAAGCTTGTCCAACTAACTATTGCTATGGAGGCTCCATTATGTGATCATTTTAGCCCATATTTCTCAAACTCCTCATAGTTATACTTGCTCAAATATTTATAAAAGAGTCATCTGACTTTGTTGTTGCTATTGAAGCTCCAAACTTTTGATGGAGCCTTCTTAGAGATATACCATTAGTATAGTCTGCAACTTGTGCCAGGTAATATAACTTTTATAAACATAATCATTGCCAGATCTTGATAAGTAAATATTATTATTGGATATTAATCATTTTTTATTCGTACAAATATTTTAAACAACCACGTAAATGCTTCAATTATTTCCTTTGACAAAAAGGTCACCCTAAGTAGAATGTTTTACCAATGATTATTAACCTGGAAAATGATACATAAACTAATTTATATTTATTAAGCCTATAGATAGTATAAAAAATTATTGTATCTCCAAAGTATTCATAATCTATCTTACCCATCCCATCAACACTAAAAAAATTCAATAATATATCAAATTCTTTAATTTGAATGTCCCACGCGAACATAGGGTCATCAAATTTCAGATCTTTAAATAATTGAATTAAAGAATTTGTGTGCACTTTTTAAATATTTGCTCTTTTTTTTTATAAGCATTTCACTTAAAGAAACCAACATTCTCAATACCTCTAACTTCATCGGTAATGTAGGAAAAAGCATCTACAGTTCTAATTCTGGCTTTTGTCTTTATTTTAAGAATTGCTTTCTCATCACTCACTTTCCTACATTATTTAAGAAGATGTTTATCATTAGGCCTAGTTAAATCATGATTGTGGCTTTTTACCAATGTTTTACCAATTTTTGCACATTCCAATAGGTTGTCCGGCTGTTAGTCTATTCCAATAACAGCCGGACAACCTATTGTGATATCTGATTTTTGATATTTCATTTATAAATTCAATTCATGAACCTTCTTGAAACCATCTTTGGAATAGACTAAGTCCTTACATCTTATCTTTCTTGAGTTTGGCCAGTAATTGTGTTATTCCTTGTGAGCATTAAAACTAACATTATGTGCATACCTATAATACATTTTGTATGCCACCTTCTCATACTTGTATACACTATGGTTTACATTCAATATATTGCTTATAAATAAATAGTTAATACACATATTATAGATAGTCAATAAATATCTTACACACACTAAAAACACAGTTAATACATAGCTTATACACAATCAATATACAGTTAGTATACAGGTTGTACAATATCAGTACACACTAAGTACATAGTTTTGTATAATGTGTGTATAACTTATTCACAATCAATAAATAGCTTGTACACAGTCAATACATAGTAAAACATATTCAATATGCAGTCAGTACATAATTAATACATAGTAATACAGTTGGTACAAAACTTGTATAATATAAATACACAATCAATATATCAATTGTACATATTTAATACATAGTTTGTACACAACTTATACAAGGTGTGTATAAGCTATCACACATCAATACAAAGTTAATATGCAACCTATATATAATCAATACACAATAAATATATAGCTTGTACACAATCAATAAACAATTAGTATATAGTCAATACAAAGTCAGTATACAGCTTGAATAATATTAATACACAATCAATACACAACTTGTATTAGGCGCGTACAACTTATACAACTTATTACATAATTAATACACATCTTGTAGACAATCAATAAGCAGTCAATACACAGCTTATACAAAGTCAATATACAGTTTGTACAATATAAATACACACTAAGTACACATCTTAAACAAGGTGTGACAAGCTGTCAAATATCTATACATAGTCAATACAAAACTTGTCATAGTCAATAAATTGTCAATACACAATTTCTATATAGTCAATACACAATTAATACATAGCTTGTATAATATCAATACACAATCGTACACAGCTTGTATACAATCAATACATTGGTTGTATATAGTCAATAAACAATCAGCACACAGTATGTACACAATCAATACACAATATACAACTTTTATAAGGTGTGTGTAACTTACATATAGTCAATGCAAAAGCTTATACACAATTAATATACAGTCAATACAAAGCTTATACACAATCAATACAAAGTCAGTACACAGCTTGTATACAGTCAATATACAGTCAGTACACTTGTATAAGGTGTGAACAAGCTGTCACAAATTAATGCACAATCAATATACAATCAATACACAATAAGTAATATACATCTTATATACAATCAATACACATTCAATATATAGCTTGTACACAGTCAATACACAGTCAGTACACAACTTATATAATATGTGTACAAACTGTCACACATCCATACATAGTTAATACACATCTTGTACATAATTAATACACAATCAAATACACCATTTGTATAATATCAAATGCATAGTCAATATACAACGTGTAAACAATGTGTATTGGCTGTCTACAAGATTGTACATAGTGTGTTATTACAAGAAACTCTAAAAACTTAGGAAGAGTTTGAAATTTACCGATAAGTTGAAATCTACAACACCTCCAACCAATGTAACTTTCGCTTCATACCCTAAACCTATCATTTCTTTAGGTTGAAGTTTTTTAAATTTTCAAGTCTTCCTGGCCGTTTGTATATCGCTTTCGGCCTTCACATCCTGTGGGCATTTCATCTGCTCGAAGAATATAACTTCCTCTTCCAAACTAGTCTTCATCTTCATTGACTGTTCCCAGTTTTTAAAAATCCTAAATATTGTGGAGCTCTTACGAATTTCTTCCTTAAAAAGGGATGTCAACCCGAAACCCTAAATTTAAATAGTATGATGCAAGTTTTGTCAAAAAGTCAAAACTATCACTTCTATACAAGATCCATTGGACAGACTGAGTAGACTAACAAGCGCAAAATAAAATACGAAATCTACGTCCAACCCAAATCCAAATGTGTGCAGCCCACATATCGATTTCATTCTAAGGTCCGGACTCCCCGCCCAATAAGTTCTCCGATTTTAAGCCGCCTCTTGCTCTCAAGCTCCTCGATATCACCCGCTCCACCCCTACGGGGAGCGCTTCCCTGCCTTCCCCGCGGTCACATCGCGCGCCAACGACGATCCAACAGCGACTTCGTACTCCAACTCCATCGCGAGTGGCTTCCCGCGAATTTCGGCTTCTCAGGAACTGTAATCCCACTTTGAACAGATCAAAGCCTCCGGCGAAGTTTTTGTATCCAGCCCCTGTTCCGGCAAGAAATCAAGTACATACCATCCCTCTGGACGCTGGATTGGGTGAAGACAGCTCGGACGGCACGCCCTTTTGGGATTCGGTCCTGAAGGTATTATCATCTTATTCATGCTTGCTTCTGATTTGTTTATTTATTTTGTCACGCCTCTGTGAATTCGTCTCTGTGAACTTTTTTAAGATTGAGTTTTGCCTATTGGTTTTGACTGCCTTAATCATGTGGTTGCCTTAATTTCTCTTTTGAGCATTTTTTTTATTGGAAAAAACCATGGTTGTACATATCAGACTGTGATGCATTCTTCAAACTTTGGCAAGCGTTATGATTATTTCTTAACCTAGCAAAATCTAAAGTCCAATGTTGCACTTGATTTTTTTTTCCTGTTCCCCTTTTTATTGCTGCTGATTATGTTGGTGGTTGTAACAAACGAAGCAGTATGTGTGATCAACAGTTTGCTTAGGACTAATTATTTTTTTAATCCTTTTAAAGCAGTTCAATGATTCTAGTATGATGGATGCCTGATCTGTTTGATTCAAATAATGATGGATGCATCTGTTTGATTCTATACGCCCATAGTAGTTTTGGTCGGATCGATCAATCAATTCATATTACCATTATGAATTATGTTCAACAAATCACCAAGCACTTGAACCAGTTTGCTTGAAGGAGCAGTCTTGTCAAGTTGCTTGGATCAATTTCCCTCTAAGCTGAAGTTTCCAGAATAAAGGAATACTCCATCATGGAACTCGACAACTAAAATCGTTAAGTCTCCAAAAGCTATTTTCCACTCAGGAAAAACTCGTCAAAGAACTTGTCAATGGTCTCACCAAGAGAAGTTGTGGAGAACTAGCTATAAAACTTGCTAGAGAGTTTGCCAAAGGGAATCTTTCCTCAAAGATTTCACCCTCAACTTGGAAATCATCAGTGTTGGACAATTATCAGCCAAACACACTTAAATATTTTTACAAAAAATAATGTTAATCCTTGCTATGTAGTCAGATGCACCTTTCTTTTTTGGCACTTAACCTTGACCTAAACCTATGAGTAGGGGTCAGGGATGAGCTTGGAACATTTTGATTAACGGAGGTTATATCGTGTTATCGATTTTTACTTTCCGATAGCAATCAAATCAATATTCTTAGAGCTTTATCTAAATTTTTACTTCTCTTCCTTTTTTCTTGGTTATGCTTGAGTTGTGCTTGCTAATAGGATTTTGATGTCACCAATAAACAAATTTTACCTTCAACACCCTCAAAGGTGCGATGAGCATGAATTATGCATTAAACAGAAAGCCAATTATGGAACATCTTGGTGAAAATTAGAGGCCTTAGCAAAATGAGCAATATGATTTCTTCACTTTTGAGTAACATAATTAGATGGAAGGCTGTTTGATGAAAATGATCTAAGGATTCTAAAAGCATTTATGAGAACACACTCCGATTTTTCATTTGCTCTAAGAAAATAATTTGGCTGATTCTCTACTTCGTTGATGATATTATAATCTCCACACTTCCTCACCAACTTCCACCAAAGGCTCTTCATCTCGCTTGAGAGAAAGCACAATAAAATCTCATCCGTGGTGTCCGGAGAAGCTTTTCACTAGCCCTACTAATGCATTTTTAAATATAATTATTAAAGCACAACTTTCACCAAAGTTCAAAATGCCACTGCTCAAAGCTTATTAAGGGTAATTGGACCCAACTGACTATGTTAGCTTATTCAAAGTAGTAGTCTCTGTCATGAACATCAATGTTACTATGAAATGTTGCCAATTCTTGACAACATTCAAGTATTCAATGAGGCATCATTATGTTTATCCACAACTTCTTCTCAAAGCATCACCAACGTTTTATAATTCACATGATTTCTCATCACCCAATGTGTGCTAGCGTACAAAGATCATTAAAAAACTAACAAGCTCTCTTAAACATAAGGTCAGAACTTGGTGAATACCTTCAATGCTTTATATTCCTTTTCAGTGTGAGATGCTAAGTGCCAATGATTTAAAGCTTGTAGTCACCTAGAGTGCAGTCACTCAGTGCCTCCAATATGGGATTATTAAATATGCCTTTGACTTAAAACTATCGAAGATATTTATTTTATTCTTATAACTTAGCAATAGTCATATTAATGTAAAATGGTACAATAATGTTGAAGCTTCTAGTTAAAAAAAAAAAGAAAAAAAGAAAAAATTTGAAGCTTCTAGTTAAAATACTTGACATTCGAAAGCTGCACAAGACTTATGACAACACCATTATGTCTAATTATGTGAGCACCATGACAATTTGAACTTAGAAGAAAAAATAACTCGTTAGAGTGATTTATACTGCAATAACATGATCAACACTGAAGAAAGATAGAAGGCCTCCAACTTACCACCCTTTGCTTAGAGAAAAACCATCAATGTCAAACATGCGTCCTACCCACAATCCTTTTCGGGTGTCTTATGGAGAGCTTGTGGATGCCATTCGAGATAATGAATACTTCCATTTGCAACCTCCAATGCGCACAAAACCCCGCATGATCCTTCAAATATTATGCTATCCTCAAGGATAATGATAATTTTTTTAAACAATACAAATATTATTAAAAAAAAAGAATATACAAAAATGTTGAATTCATCACTAAATATGTGTTACCTACGTACCTTCAACTACAAAAAATTGAAGGATCAAATCTCACATAGTTCTAAAAAAAACTACAAAGAGAAAATCTGTAATGTTAAATCAACTCAAAATACAGGATGAAAAATAGAAGAAATGAAAATTGATCCACCAAATGCTCTTTATCCAAGCAATGAAGCAAAAGACAACTCATTTAGATGCATATAACTGAATTTCAATATTATTTAATAGAAAATAATAATCAACCAACGTCTCACAATAAATACAATCCTGCACGATCAATAGGAAACTAGGCAAGCAATGCCTCTTTAACAATAGAGTAAACACACCTATATGATCAAATAAATAAAGTTAAATAAAAATAAAAAATATGTGAGGATCCTATTCCATTCAAATTATAATGAAACATAATATGAATATACGAAGAAGTCCCTTATAAGGAAAAGAAAACATTCACGAATCATATCTCAATAAAGATAAATTAAAATTGAAGGAAACCCAACATTGGTATTAATATGCTCAGGCTTGGAAATAATGCAAAAGGTTCCATAATAGAAGATCCAAATCCAAATGCATAAAAATCATGAAAATTGCATATCATAAAAGCCAAATTCATGAGTATCATGGAAATAATTAGTCATATCATCATAAACCCTCTGCTATCCCAACAGCAATATTGTCCAAAGTACAATCCCCAATAGATCCAAACATCATAATATGAAACAATAACAATCTCAACAACTCTAACATTATCCAACAATATTGAAATACCAAGAATCCATGTGAAAGCAATACAATGTACTCCATGAAACCTATCGTCAAGCATCAACTACAATATAAAAAGACCACTTCCTCAAAAATAAAAATATCATCATAGCCTTCCTAGCCCAAAATACCAAAATTTATGACTCAATTCCAAGAAGTAACCTTTCTTAAAAAAAGGTAAACCCAACTTATCTCAGTGTTCACCAAACCCTTGAGTAGAAATGTTTATTTCTTGAAATTTCATATCACAATTAGTGCAAAGATCACGATCATGATACTGAAGAGTGTTGCCGTTTATGAATGTAAGTGTTCATCAATGCCAAAAAGCTTAAATAATTTATACTCACCAACCTAGGTCACCTACCCAAAAATATAATTATAGAAGAAAACAATAAACTTGTCAATCCTAACACAAGTCATATAGATCATTGAAAATACCCCATAAGAAAACAAATCCCATAAGAAACATAAGTCAAGGAGGGAAGTGCTCTAATAAACTTTAGAATTCTTTGCATTTTGAATTGAGTAAAAAACATATCTAAAATATTTTTTCATCTTCCAAAAAAGGTTTATGAGATTTATAATAAACTCAAGGAATTCACCTCTTATATTTTTGCAACCCATTATGTTATCATGTTGAAATTATTTGATAATTAGTTTGATTATCTTGGGTACTTTCCCGAGAGGCTTGATTTAATAAGAGTGAATTCAATTCAAAACGTTAACTATACACGGGGAAATCATTCAAGAGGCTTGATTTATCTAAAGTGGATTCAACATCAATTTTTATTTATACTCAGGAAATCATCATATTTTGAAAACTCAGACAAAAACAATTTCAACATATTATTCTAAAGGTTAAATTTCACTATATATTTGAGAACTATTGAAAAGTTCATTCTTGAAATTAACATTCACCTATTCAATTCAATTCAATTCAAAATCAATCAAACTTCAAAATAGAAGTTCAAAATATTGTCAATTTAGATTAAAATTAGAAAGATCTTAGATTCTGAATGTATACCCTATTAGTTAAGCAAGATGTAGACTAATTTTAGGCAAGGGACTATAATGGTCATTGCCTAAGGTTAACTTTAAAAGTTGTGAAATCACTTTCTATTAGAGAGCTACATCTCCCAAGTAGACGAACAAATTGTACTTAATGAAGTTTCCATAGTACTTAACTTAATATATTTGCTTCATTTAAGGAACAAACAAAGTCTGATTGACTAAGATAGTATCATATCTATAAAACTTGTATTGTGATAAGGAATTCATTTTATACTCGATAACCTATTTCTCATAATTATTACTTGGTAACTCGATTACTCAATAAGTCGCCAAATTTTTTTTTTCAAAAATTTAATCAGTTTAGTATTATGTTTCTCTTAACACCATATAAACCAAGCTTTATGCTATATCTTAAGTATGTAAAGACTGAAAATCAAGTCATAGAATTTACACACCCTTTGATGGTAAGATCTACATTTAGAAAGAGAGTGAGAGACCCCTTTTAGTGCGAGACCAAAGATGATTACACCCACAAAGTCGAATTTCTAGCAAGAGGTGAGACCTATCCAAGGCTACAATTTATTTGATAAAAATATATATAAAGAAAAAGGGCAGAGTAAGGCGTAACAATATATTTCAAAATTATAACAATATTATTTCAATTATTCGACTCATTTTATTATGTTCATCTTTATTCTATTCTTTGTATTCAAGTTATTGCTCGGTTGTACTACTCTATTAATGTTAAGCAATATGAGAGATTCTAAAATTTTTACAAGGGGAAGATATGATCACAAGTAGGTTAATGATAAAATTTTATTTCATTTCTAGCAAAATGCACAAAAACACTCAAAAAAGGTTTAAAAAGTGAACCAAATCTACAAATCTATTAAGATTCACTCTGAAGAATCTTTATTCAGATCTTCAAAAGCTTTGTTATTTAATTGGTTGAGTACAGGGTGATAGAAGAAGCTCAAATCTTGCCATACGTGATTGATCTCACTATAATAGGAAATACAAGCAAATACAATCTCTTTTTGATATTTGGCTTTGATTTTGCCAAAATATTCCTTATATTCAATTAACTTTTTTATTATGATGACTTCGGAAGATTGAGATGATGAATCAGCCTTGTTGTTGCTTGATTTCCTTGAAAGCATCTTCCAACTCGACTACTTTTGTCTTAAGATGAAAGCATTGAGCAAGGTAACTCTTATTGAAAAACCTGCGACTCAGCCAGTAAAGACTCCAAGCTACTTATTTTACTTTGCAATACGATAGTATTCAATTCATTTGAGGCACTCATAGTTGTTGCAGCATTCACATTTTACTGCCAAAACCTTCTAAGTATTTTGCTTCCTTAGTGAATTCTTCAACGAGTTTCCTTGTAACTTGCTTGGTACTTAGAGCTTTCTTCAAGAGCATTTTTTTCCCTCCAATGAAACTGCTAATTTCTATTTTTTCCTTATAAACATTCTAACTCGCTCATTAAGTTACTATTCTTTTCAACCAATCTCTTAATGTTTACTTAGAAGAAGAAATATGTTTGTCAAGTTGACGTAAGTCTCCTCATCATGAATATAGGTAAGTCGCCTAGTGACTTTTAGAATAAATGTTTACACTAGTTGTGGGGAAAGAAAAGATGGCTGACCAATGATAAAAATTAGTTACATTCATCTTCTTCTTTGACATAATAAGGGATCTAAAATTAGGCTAACAACTTTATCATTTTTTGTCCGTCAGAAGGATGACTTGCCTGTAATCATAGAATCTAGCCTTAAAGTATTTCAAAAGGTGAATATAGGTCATTTTGGCTTTTCACTTGTCAGATCTTCTTGGCTTGGAAGCCGACTTATTGTCAGCATCTTATGCAGTGGATGGACATTCACCTTCTCCTCGGATATGGGTCTTATCAAAAGAGGTTGATCCAACTGTTCTTACGACATTAGCTTGTCAAACAAGAAGAATTTTTCCATGAGAGCTCAGACCAACTTCTTCTACTTCTTTGCCGTTGGACTCATCATATCTAATTAAAACATGCCGTTTCTTTTGAGGAGGTAAGTGGATATTTTCTTCTTATAGTAGCTTGTTTTAATCATCAAACTAACTATATTCAGTTTCCTGGCCCCAATCGACCTCTATCGGTATATTGCATTGGGATATTATAAACTTTATATAAAGAATAAAATCATTTCAAGCTTCGAATAAATTCTTCATTTAATAGATAAAATAACTATAACTTTAGACAGACTTAGTGATTTACTTGGTTTGGTTGAGAAGGATGCCGTTCTGGTGGATTTATCTATCATATGGTAAAAACAGTCAAGTTGTAGGTCTCTCACCTTCATAAATACGTTACCCTATTCACTATTCAAACATAATAGCCGCAACTTACTATTAGAAATAACAGTCAGCATGGTCTTAATCGACCATCCCTTAAGTGGTTTAAGAAAAAAGTACTTTTACTTCTATCTTTAAGTTTGTTTTGTAATATAATAACTTTGGTGTATCCAGAATCTTCCTCGAAGGCCTTTATAGTTGACATGAACTGAAACAAGTTTAAGCTCTTTTTCACTCTGTCCTCCAGAAAAATAGCAAAAGTGATGACACTAGCAAAATAATTCAACTTCACCTAAGTTTGGACCTAGTTGTAAAAGTTGAGAATCTTAGCCATCCCGGGAAAGAATTGAAGTCCCAGGCCAAGTTTGACATGATCCTGTAAAAACCCAACTCTTCATTTCTTTAGTGAGTTCAAGAACTTGTTAGCTTCAGCAACTCGGACTAAAAATCATTCCCAAACTCACACTCTAGGCATAATAACTTCATGCTATACTTTGACACAGAGAAAAAAAGTTCTAATTTGCCTTTGCAAAGTTCTTTAAACTATTAAGAAAGTGACTATGCGAATACAAATGAAGTTAAGAAAGAACTTTTAAAAGAAGATCACTTACTGTAGCTTTTAAAAAAAAAAGATCACTTACTGTAGCTTATGCAGTACTTTTATCTCCAACAACTTCTTGTTTGTTACCATCCCCTGTTTCTTGAACTAGTTTGATCTTCTTTAAAGTTAAATCAGAAAGTGATTCTCCTCCAACTTTTCATTTCTCTACTGCTTAAAAATTCTCTAGAGACTTGCTTCTTCTTGTATTTTTTTTGATGTTCTTCTTATTCTTAAGGCATAAGAAGACTCAAAAAGAATAATGAAAAATCTCCAAAGAGGGTTTATGGATTCTTATAGATCTTGTACAAGAAATACCCCTATCATCTACCAAATGAGAAGAAGCACGAAAGACTGACAATTTAGATCACCTAGGCTGAATTGTGTTTGAAGGTTTTATTCTCATGTTCATCTTGGCCTCTTGAAAGAGACATAATAATTGGATAGCTAAATGTATACCCATATTCATTTGGATTGGATTGGATTGAACAAATCATATTTCTATTATGAATCATGTTCAGTAATTTATAAAGCACTTGAATCAATTTGCTAGAAGCCTAAAGTTGCCTAAAGGAGTATTCTTGTCAAGCAGCTAGATCCATTTGCCTCTAAGCTGAAGTTTCCAGACAAATGTGTTAGACCGGTCCATTGGACCGGTCTAGCTGGTCCATGCGGAACCGGCCCAGGCGCAAATGAGGCGGACATTTCCCGCCTCCTTTTCTAGCCGCACGAGCTGCAAGGTCCACGGAAGCCAATTTGGAAGGATTTTTTTGGGATTTGGGAGGGAAATTTGAATGTAGGGACTGTTTAGGGATTTCCTTTTGATTTTTATGCATTAAATACTTTGTTTTCCTAGGGTTAGGGTATCTTGAATTTGGCTGATTTTGGGATCTCTTAAGTTTAGGTTTTGTGCTCTAGATTCTTCTAGAGATTGGGAGAGATCGAACCTCCTCTCGAATAGAGGATCACTTGTATCTTGTTGTTTCCTTCCGATTAATTTGATTCTTGCAATAAAATTACTGTTTTTTCTAGTTTTCATTGGAGTTTGGAAGAGTTTTCTCGCTGTTTTTATCTTTCTTGCTAGGATTCACTTGAAATCTACAAGTGTTTTCTATCAAATTGGTATCAGAGAAAGTCTTGGGACCGTTCGTGGGCTGATTTTGGTGAATTTCTGCGGCTAATTTTGGGCCGGGAAAGGAGAAAGTTACTGTTTTTGTAATCCAAATCGAGAATTTTTGGATCTACAAAAATCTGGATCGAGATGGAGGCCAAGAAAGTAGACGCTAGAAGAAAGGCTTGAAGGGGATATGAATCAAATCATGACAACGATGGACGAAAGGATTTCCTCCATGGAAGGACAAACAGCCAATCTCCGGGACATAATGAAGAAAATATTGGAAATCCACAACCAAACGATGGATTTCATGGCAAAAGGGGTGGAAGGGAAAAGCACGAATTTTGAAATCCGTAGGGAGGAAAATGTGGTGAAAATCATGGAAGGAGAAAGAAGAAGACACAATGTAGAGCCTGTTCAGAGGGAAGAAAAAGGAGGTGGATATGGGGAATGTTAAGAGAGATACTATGGCCGCCGAGGTGCTGATTTTGAAGGAAGAAGAGGGGAATTTGAAGGGGGTTTGGGTATGGCATGGCGAGGGAAGACCGAGAGACATGGGGAGGGCCGAGCACCTGGGAGAGGGGAGGCTATGGAAGAATAAGGGGGAATGGTGGAGATCAGAAGGTGAGGAAGCTTAAGATGCCCATATTTAAAGGGGAGGATGCGTACGGGTGGATTTATAAGCTGGAGAGGTAATTCGCTGTCAATGGGATGACGGAGGAGGAGAAGCTGACAGCGGCAAACTTGTGCTTGGAAGGGAAGGCGCTATCATGGTACCAAGGGAGAGACCAGAGGAGACCTATAAGGAGCTTGATGGAATTTAAGGATTGCATAATATAACGTTTTCAAACCGACCATGGAGGAGATTTTTATGAGTAGTTCTTTGCTCTAGTGTAGGAGGAATCAGTAGTAGACTATCGGGAGCGTTTCGAGCACCTAGCCAGTAGGGTGGAGCGATTATCAGATACTGTATTGGAGGGGAACCTCATGAAGGGGTTGAAGGTAGAGATTCGAGCGGCAGTGAATGTTCTGATGTCTTGTGACTTGGGGGAGGCCATGTAGTTGGCACATCTAGTGGAAAATCAGAAGAATCTAGAGAAGACAGCTAGGATCAGTAGCTCAGGAGGCTCTTATAGGACGATAACCACTTTTCTAGCACTCAAGGGGCCTGCATCAGACAACATTAATGAGACCACCATGGAGAAGCTAGTAGGAGGAGGGAGTGGAGAAAATTTCAAGAGGCTGACAGAGAAGGAGATTCAGGCGAAGAGGACAAAGGGGTTGTGTTTCAGGTGCGAGGAGAAGTATACGATAGAACATCGGTGCAAGGACCGAACTCTTCAGGTTCTCACCATCTGTGATGACAAGGAAGCTGAGGAGGGAGGTGAGGGGGAGTTAGAGGAAGAGATGGAGGAGAAGTTGCATTTGGATTAGGCCGAGGTTTCCCTGAATTCAGTAGTACGATTCACTTCGAATCATATTATTAAGGTGAAGGGGAAAATAACAGACATGGAGGTGGTAGTTTTGATTGACAGTGTGACTACCCATAATTTTATTTCTACTCAGGTCGTCAATCAACTGGGAGTGAAATTGGTGGACACCGATAATTATGGGGTTATGATGGGTACAAGGTGGAGAAAGGCCAGTGGATTTGTAGAGGAGTGGTGTTGACCAGCCAGGGGATTCAGGTAAGTGATGATTTTCTCTCACTAGAGTTAGGAAGTATTAATGTCATTCAGGGGATGAAGTGGTTGCAGACCTTGGGGGAAACCAAGGACAATTGGGGAGCACTCACGATGTAATTAAGGGTGGATGGGAGAAAGGTGATTATAAGGGGAGATGCAGAGCTATCCAAAGCCATGGTATCACTTAAGACCATGGTTAAGAGCATACAAGAGGTGGGGGAAGATTATATGGTGGGACTACATAAGCTGGATGTGATCAGGATGGAGGAGAGAGGGGGTGTTTCTCTTTCAGTGCAGCCCTTGATTTAGCAATTTGGTAAGGTGTTTCAACTACCACAAGGATGACCACCTCCACTGGAACACGAGCATATCTCCACCTTGAGGAAAAAGTGGATCTTTGGGAGGGGAGTATTGTTAGACCGGTCCATTGGACCAGTTCATCCGGTCCACGCAGAACCGGCCCAGACGTAAATGAGGCGGACATTCTCCGCCTCCTTCTCTAGCCGCATGAGCCGCAAGGTCCACGGGAGCCAATTTGGAAAGATTTTTGAGGGATTTGGGAGGGAAATTTGAATGTAGGGACTGTTTAGGAATTTCTTTTTGATTTGTATGCATTAAATACTTTGTTTTCCTAGGGTTAGGGCATCTTGAATTTGGCTGATTTTGGGATCTCTTAGGTTTAGATTTTGGGCTCTAGATTCATCTAGAGATTGGGAGAGATCGATCCTCCTCTCGAATAGAGGATCACTTGTATCTTGTTGTTTTCTTCCGATCTATTTGATTCTTGTAATAAAATTACTGTTTTTTTGGTTTTCATTGGAGTTTGGAAGAGTTTTCTAGCTGTTTTTGTCTTTCTTGTTAAGATTCACTTGAAATCTACAAGTGTTTCCTATCAAAATGGCGTACTTTTCCATGGAACTTGGTAGCTAAAATTGTTCAAGTCTACCAAAGCTACTCAAAACACTCGGAACGGACTAACCTGAGAATTCGACTAGAAGGAGTACTTCCACAAATATATTGCCCTCTTAAAATCCATGAAAAGTTACTCGAAGTCCTAGGATTTATATCCTACCAACCAGACTTAACGCATTCTTATAACAATCAATGATAAGCCTTGCTTTGTAATTTTATTTGTATTACTCAAATTTAGTCATTTTTTTTATAGTGAATCACTATCTATTCTTATAAGGGGTAAGAGGATAAGCTGGGCATTCTTGCACTATCTGCTAGGCCACATCAGCTTGTAACTTTGTATTTTTTTACATCAATTTAATCATGATTCTTAGAGCTTCTCTTTCTTCTTTCTCAACTAGGCTTGATCTATACTTGCCAGTATGGTTCTGATGCCAGTCACAGATAAATTTATATCCAATAGATTCATCCCTTCCGCTGTCACAATCAGCACGATTCTTAATTCTTTATCATCGATATGTGACTCTGACCTTAAAAGGAAAAGTTTGTTAACGTTTAATCTTGCTATTGCTTTTATTTGCTTTCTTTCTAAAACAGGTGTCACTAATTGGCAGAAATGAATTCCCAACCCAAAAGGAGGACAGCAGCAGAAAGTGGGGAAGGTGGTGGGGGGATTGATCCAGGCCTCTCTACTTTGATTGGAAATGGAGAGGATTTAGGGCCAATTGTTAGACATGCTTTTGAAGTTGGCAAAGCAGAGGCGCTCTTGCACCAGCTTAGGAGTATCGTTAAGAAGAAGGAAGTTGAGATAGAAGAGCTTTGCAAACTCCACTATGAGGATTTTATACTTGCAGTTGATGAGCTCCGTGGGGTGTTGGTCGATGCTGATGAGCTCAAGAGCATGTTAGCAAATGAAAATCTCAGGCTTCAAGAAGTTGCAAGTTCTCTTCTTCTGAAACTTGAGGAGCTCCTTGAACTTTATTCTATTAAAAAAAATGTCACTGAGGCCCTAAGGAAGTTGAAAACTTGTGTCCAGGTTTCAGTTTTATGCCATAAGTGCAATAAGCATATATCAGATGGCAAGTTTGTCCCAGCGTTAAAAACTTTGGATATAATTGAGAATGATTACCTTCTAAATGCTCCTATAAAAACACTTCGAAAGGTGATTGAGAAGCAAGTTCCAGCAATAAAAACACATATTGAAAAAAAGGTTTGCAGTGAGTTCAATGAGTGGCTTGTGCAAATAAGGAGCATGTCAAGGAACATTGGGCAATTAGCTATTGGGCAAGCTGCTTCTGCCCGCCAAAGAGATGAGGAGATGTGTGCTCGACAAAGAGAAGCTGAAGAGCAGAGCCGTTCTGGTTTAGTGGAGTGTGTGTACTCATTAGACATTGAACAACTTGATGAAGAATCAGTACTTGAATTTGATCTTACCCCAGTATATCGGGCACACCATATTCATGCTTGTCTTGCTATTGAGGAGAAGTTCCGTGAATATTATTACAAGAACCGGTTAATGCAGCTTAATTTGGACTTGGAGATATCCACTGTACAGCCCTTTCTTGAATCCCATCAGCCATTTTTTGCTCAGATAGCTGGTTTTTTCATAGTGGAGGACCGTGTTCTGCGCACTGCAGGAGGTTTGTTATCTGATAGTCAGGTGGAAACTCTTTGGGACACTGCTCTTGCAAACATGATATCAATTCTAGAGGATCAGTTTACTCGTATGGATAATGCGAGCCATCTTCTTCTAGTCAAGGACTTTGTTACACTTTTTTGTTCAACTTTGAAGCATTATGGTTACCGTTTGACACCTTTGCTGGAGGTTCTTGATAGCACCAGAGACAAGTACCACGAACTCCTTCTCGATGAATGCAGGAAGCAGGTGACCAACATCCTTGCTAATGACTCTTATGAACAAATGGTGATCAATAAGGAATATGAATACAAAATGAACGTCGTAGCATTCAATCTTCAGACTTCAGACATAAAGCCAGCTTTTCCATATTTTGCCTCATTCTCTTCTTCAGTTCCAGATGTTTGCCGTATTGTCCGCTCTTTCATTAATGACTCGGTCAGCTACTTATCATATGGGGGCCATATGAACTTCTACGATGTTGTGAAAAAGTATGTGGACAAGCTCCTGATCGATGTGCTGAACGAAACACTTCTCAGTGTCATCCATGGGGGCACATTAGGTGCATCACAGGTTATGCAGACTGCTTCGAACATTTCTGTTCTCGAGCGAGCTTGTGATCTTTTCCTTTGGCAGGTTGCCCAGCGTTGTGGTGTGCCTTTGCGCCTGTTTGATAGGCCTCATGCTGGTTTGGCTGCAAAGGCTCTGCTTAAGGCCTCACAGAATGCTGCTTATAATGCGCTTCTGAATGAGGTGAACACCAAGTTGGATGAATTCCTTTCTCTCATGAATAATTTCAATTGGATTGCTGATGATCCTCCACAAAATGTGAGTGAGTATATAAATGACATAAAGGACTATCTTGACACCTTGATTTCTAGAGCTCAGCAGATTTTACCCTTGGAAGCACTTTACAAGCTTGCTATTTCTGCATTGGATCATGTATCTGATTCCATTGTTGCAGCTTTTCTAAATGAGAATGTTAAGAGGTTTACAGTTAGCGCTGTTATGGGCATTGATAATGACTTGAAGGTGCTAGAAACGTTTTCAGAAGAGAAGTATGTGAGCTTAAGTTTGTCTGATTTGAACAAAAACCAGAGTTTAAAGGATTGCTTATTGGAATCTAGACAGTTGGTTAACCTTCTATTGAGCAATCAACCCGAGAACTTCATGAATCCTGTAATTAGAGAGAAGCATTATGGCGCTCTGGACTATAAAAAGGTGGCAAATATATGTGATAAATTCAAGGATTCTCCTGATAGAATTTTTGGAGGTCTGGCAAGCAGAAGCACGAAGCCGAATGCTAGGAAGAAGTCCATGGACATGCTGAAGAAAAGGCTGAAAGACTTCAGCTGATGCTGATTGAGCTATTCGTTTGTCAGTCATTACGGTATTTTCTCTTTTACTTGTTTTGCCTTCAATCAGCATATTTCCTTGAACCTTGCAAAGTGTTCATATTTTCCTCATGCAGTTAAGGTCAGTTAAATACAACTGGATGGTTTGTCAATGACATGATATTTCTTGTACACATTTAAATTTTTTTAAGGGTTCGGTCTTTACAATTTTTTGTACACATTAACAAAAAAATTGGCCTCAAAAGATCATTACCAAAATCATCCCGTTAGAAAAAACTCCCACCGATCTGCCAGTATATACTCGGTTCGTGCCTCCTCAGTTCATATCAATCATTTATCATGACGAGACATCTAATCTAGCTTCCAAATTGCAGTACAGCATGTTAGCAACATAACAGGCAAATATGATTCTATGAGGAAAATAGTATTTTGAAATAGTCATAGGTTTCATTTGGGACATCTTTTTTATTATTTTTTAAAACAGCTTTCTTATTATTTTTTAAAACAAATTTTAGTATAAAAATTTTAAGTTCAAAATTTTTTTATATTAAATAACTATTTTATAAAGCAGTAAGAAAGCCGTCCAAAAAAAAAAAAAGAAAGAATCCTAACAAATCTCACTCTGTTGATCTTTTACTATGATTTGAAATCATCTAATCATATATAATGAGCTAAAAAGCCCAATAGATTAGTAAAACCTCCAATTGAATTTAAAGCACGGTAAATAAGCAATATGCATGTCAGGGATCAAATCATAGAAATATTATTCATACGATCATTGAATCAATATAGAAACAATAAAAATAACATGTAGTAGTAGTAAACTTTATAAATACAAAAACACTATGATACGAAATCCAATAAAGCAGTAAATTAGTATGAGTGTCAAATCTATAAAGCAATCATTATATCAATAATACCAATCAATATATAAATATGATAAAACATTAAATCAAAATATCTGTAAAAACTGACAAAATTTAATCAATGTAGTAAAATTATATAGAAGTGTATATATGTTATACAATTATTCTATAATATTATTAAATTAATATCTTAATCACATACTCAATATATTATGTATATTCATGGTTTAAAATTGCGCAATATGAGGCTCGCCTTGAGGTCCGCCTTTGCGCAATTCCAATAAAAAACGCCTCGATGCTTACGCCTCGAGTTTTTTTTATGAGTCTTGCGCTTCAACTTGGTTGAGGCTCACCTTGAGGTCCGCCTTGCCTCACTGGCAAGAGGCTTACGGCTCACGCTATATATATTAAAACTTACATAAATCTTGAAGTAAACGCCCGACATTGGACTCTATAGGAAAGTAGGAAGGGGAGAGAGCAGTTCATCATAATGATGATTCAAATGAAGAACCCGTTAGTAATGACAGTGCTGATGACTTATTAGTTCTTCTGTGATATGTCATTGCTATTTATTTTTGGAAATTAGAATTATATGTTAATGAAAATAATACTAGGATTTGGGTAAGATAGAATTTTGAGTTGAATTATATTTCTTGTTGTCTTATTATTGAGATGTTTTGATTTCACTTCATATCTTATGCTTTTTTATGCTTTATATTATTCACTCATTAGTATATAAAAATTTTATCATTTTATATACACAATCTTTTGATTTTGAGGCTTACGCCTCAAAAAGCTTTGAGGCTTACGCCTCGCCTCACGAATGAAAAATGCCTTAATACTCGAATATGCAAATTTAAACATTGTGTATATTACATGCTCAATGAATATATCATGCTTTATATATCAATATATTAGCAACAATATTAATAATAAATCCATACAGTAATATAATAATGCCACAATAACATTCTTTTTAGTAGTCACACTAAACAAGTTAGAATTCTGGCTATATAATTTTTTTTAGTATCGTATTAGTGTCAGTACATAATTGGCTCAGTAAATATAGCGTCACTCTTTGCCTGTCGGCACAATAATCATATCTTTATAACTCCCAATATGTGTATCACATGAATCAGTCAAGGATAACACCAAACTATATATTTAAAGGAAAGCCCATCGGCCCACAATCATATACAGGTCAATCAGTATTCAACTAATGGGTCAACTAGTCTTTACTTATCTTTTACACACATATTATTTATTACAGTAATATAATAGTAATCCCAATCACATATCTACATTCATTTTTAATATATTACAGCAAATAAAATATAATTGAGCTTAATTCAAAAAATATCAAAATGTTTAATATTTGACAATAAAAAGTATACTAAGCCAAAAACATATTTTCAGAATTTAGTCAAATTATCAAATATTGTATAAAATAACATTCTAAAGCTTTAGTTGAATCAAATCTATTTTTTGACATCAAAATAAATTTCTATGTAAAAAAAAGTCACTGTATTTTCAAAATCATATAGCAAAAAATCTCAAATAAATACTCAAAACGTTCATAATCTCAATCTCTATAATATATAAAAAATTACGAGTTGAAAGTTTTACCAATATAAACTTGATCAAAAAAGATATAAAAAAAATATAAAATTATTGAAATCAGAAATAGGGTAAAGGTTCTATATAGCGAGATAAGCAAATCTCCCAACTAAACCGATTGCAAAAAATCACTCTCGACCTCCAAATTTAGATTTTTTTCTCTCTGCTTTATTTTCCTCTCAAATTATCTTTCTATTTCTATGTTAGCCATTTTCTTAAAAGAGAAAGGGATTTGTTTATAATAATAATATTAATTAATTATATGAATTAGTTTTAAATATAAAAAATTATTTAATCATTTTATATCTTCTTAAAAATTATAAAAAAAATTCATAAAATAACACATTTTATTTATAAAACTTTGGTGAAATCAGTTTGCAAAACGAAAACTTGACAGTTCCAAAATCATCACTAGTACTAATAGGTGTCAATTTCTTTAAGATTTTCTCCAATGCCCAAAAATTATGAAAAAAAAATTATTTAATTAAAATACTATAATATCAATGCTATAACAAAGACGTTCTGTGATTTGGGCTTATATTGACTCTATAAAAAAATTCGACAGAGTCAAAATACGGGCTATTATACCTTATACTCACTATTTTCTTCATCATGTTTTCTTTCTCTAGCAAACCAAACTTGGTAGTAGGGTTAAGCTGAAAGTTCATGAGGATTGTTAAATCTTTATGAACTAGCCCAAGGCTAATCAAGAGGAGGGGAGGTGAATTGATTATTAAAAAAAAATTCTTAAAGAAAAAAGAAAATCTTTTTGAAATCTTTTTAAATATTTTGAAAAAAACAATTTTATCCCACAATGCGGAAGCAAAACCACTTTCATTATAACTAAAATCAGAGATTTCAAACATATAACAAATAAAAAAAATGGAAAAGTAAATAGAAAGAACATACCATAATTATAATGGTTCGATCAACTTGACCTACATCCACTCTTTAGAAACCTCATTTTCAAGTATTGCACTAAAAATATTCTCTCCTTTTGCCCACACGGCAAGGTGGAGAAGCCCTTACAAAAGATTTTCATCGACCCGGTGAGACAGAGTACCTTGAATCCTTTTACTCCCTCTTGAGTAGGCATAGAACCTAAAAATCCTTTTACTTCCTCTTGGAGTAGGCAGAGAACCTTGGACCTGATACTGATGAAAATCTCCCTAGAGCCACCAAGGAAATAAGGAAGAAGCTTAATGAAGATGATGAGAACCTTGCTTGGAGCAACCTTTGTGAATCCCTCACAACTCCCCCTCATAAGGATCTCTCTCTCTCTCTATCTCTCAAATCTATCATCTCTTCCTTCTTTAAGCTCTCTCTTAGGTCAACCCAATAGCAAAAGATCTCTCAAAAGATAATATGAGAGATTAAATAGAAAACCTCCAAAATAAGTCATAATTTTTAATTTGCCGTTAAAGATCGTCTAGTACGATCCTGAGATCGTCCTGTACGATTAGTACAAAACATTCCTTTCAGTCAATATGATCAGCATTGCCCTGTACGATCATTTCAAGTATTTGTACATATCATTTAGTACGATTCTACGATTGTCCAGAACGATTAGTTTAAGATATAATATTGATTGTCTAGTACGTAATTGGATGATGGGTAGCGATTTACATATCGTTCCTGCACATCCCTTGGAACGTCCAGTACGATCGCTTGTACGATTAGAAGAAAATTATGGTTTTCATATTGGATGATGGGGGATCGTCCCATGAAATATCTGTGATGCCACATAATTTAAATTTGAAAAATTATTCATTTATCCTTTAAATAATCAATGACCAGAGCTATCTAATATTATCTATAATTAATAAACAGTACACCATATTCTATAATTTAAAACATCAATGTATACATCTATATTCATTCCTAAAGTCATATATACTACTTAGAATCTACACAATCATTTAATAACTCCAATGCACATACCTTTCCTGAGAAATAAAAATTTCATCAACTTGAATAATTTGTATTCTCAGAAAATAGTGCAATAACCCCAAATTAGCCATTCAAAACTCTTTCATCATATCAACCTTGAACCTTTCAATCAACGCTTTGGATAACCTATAATAAATAATATCATAAACATAAATACAAACAATAAGCAAATCATCATTTTTTTGCTAACACATATAATGTTGGCTCACTTTTACTTTTATGAAATCCCTTATTTTGCAAGTATGAATCAAATCACCAATACCATGCTCTAGGTTCCTGTTTAAGCTCATAAGGCGTCTTCTTTTGTTTATAATTTATAAACTTTCTCCTCTCACTATAGAAAAAACGTCGATTTCTAATACATTTTCAAGGGATTTTCTAGTGAGTAGTGGCTTTCTTATGGAATATTTCTGGCAGATTTCCAACGGAACATTTCTGACAAATTTTTTGACAGAATTTTCGATGGATTTTTGATAGAATTTTAAATTTTTCAAAAAATGGCTTGTGGAGTTTGCGTGCAGGCTTAGTTTACAGGTCCATGGAGTTCAGGTGGGTGGACGAGCCCGTGATGATAAAATGCGGGTTTACAGGCCCACTCAGGCTAATAACATTTTAAAGTAATTTTCGGCGGAATAAGCTAGCAAGCAGTGTTTATTTTCTGATGCATGAATTACCGTCAGGAAAAATTCCATGGAAAATCCGTTTAAAATATAAATTACTGATGCGTTTCATTCATTTTTTGGCAGAAATAGCTGCTAGAAAATGACATTTTTCCTATAGTCT